CCTTCTCTGTTGCGCTGAATTAACGACTGCTCTTTTCTATTTGTCTGAGTACATAGCCCCTGATGTCTAATACTGCAGTCTTACCCAAGGGAACCTACGGGCTTTGGCATCGCCCTCCCCTTAGTGGAAAGGGAGTCAACATACAGGTAGAGCTTGGGTAAGTAACACTCTCAGTCTCTGGGCCTCTGTGGGAATGAACTTGTCACAGCTCTTTCCTCTGCTTCATGCTCTGCCTGGCCACTTCCACAACCCCCACCGGCCCAGCCTGAGAGGCCACCTAGGAGAGTCAAGGTTAGGGTGATCAAAAGTAGTTCAAAAGCCAAGTCATTCTTGTTAACCTCAGAAGTTCGGATGATGCATGAGTGTGTGAGCTAGAGTTTGTTCAGGCAGAATGTCCTGCCAGATACTTTCCCCCAAATCATTAAAGAAGGTCTTTAAAAACCTATCTCCGGGGGGAGGATATAGCTCAGTGGTTAGAGTGCATAGCATGCACAAGATCCCCTGGTTCAATCCTTCGTACCTCCAAACTAAACTAAATAAATAAACCTAATTACCCACCCACCCCTGCCCCTGGCAAAAAAAACCAAAAAACAAAAAACCCACAAAAAACCCCACCCCTATCTCCAGGAGGTGGTAAAGGTGGAGGCAGAGGAGGAGGGCGACGCCCCCTGGTGGTACCTTCTGGCTCCGTGACTCCATGAAGATTTCCCGGTCATTGCCCCATCCGGGTATTAGCTGACCACCCTGGCTCCTCATCCCAGACTCTAGCTCTGAGAAGGATTTGGGGCTAAAAAAGACGAGCCAGTCTTTCAAACTGGGTGAATCTGATGGCTAATGATGATGCGAAAAGCAAACTGCGGAAGGCCTCGTTCCGGGGTGTTCACGTCTGGCGCCCTCTGGTGGTCCCGACGCTGTCCTACGCCCACTCCCCCACCTCTTGCGGTTTTCAAAGAAGGGTCAGGAAAAGACTAGACTAGAAACCCCCACTTTAATTGAAAAATTGAATTAAAAAAATTTTTTAAAACAGTGACACTGTGACCTTTGTTTCCGTACTTGGTTAGTGTGTCAGCCCCGCATCACGCGGCATAAGGTAAAGGGGAAGGGGCACCTTGGGGGCTTATGAGAGGCTCACACACTGGAGAGGCTGCTGGTCACGAATTCCCTGGCCTCAGTGTTTGAGACACAAAGCTTTTGCCAATCCCTCGTGTGTTTTGATGCTTTCTGAGCCAGACTGCGCCTGTTCAAATCCTCATCCTGCTATTATGAGCCCTGGATTACCCTCTGCCCCACCTCCACTTCTCCATCTGTTTAATGGGGATAATATAAGACCCATCTCATAGGGCTCAGTCTTGCAAAACTGCCTGCTCCCTACTCCCACTTCAGAAACCAATCTCAAGTCCAGGGTGTCACCTATGCTTCTGACTGACCAGTAATAGATCTGAGGTTCCGACAACCCCCTCCTTGGACTTGATTAATTTACCTAAGTAGCCCACAGAACTCAAAGATACATATTACTTACGAGATTACCAGTTTACTACAAAAGGATATGACTCAAGAGCAGCCAGATGGAAGAGAAGGCAAGGGATAGGAAAGGGTACGGAGCTTCCATGCCCTCTCTGAGTGCATCAATCTCCCTAAATCTCCACATGTTCACCAACTGGGAAGCTCCAAACCCATCCTTTGGGGATTTTACGGAGGATTCATTACATAGAGAAGATTGGCTGAATCACTGGCCCATTGGTAATTGATTCAACCTCCGGCCTCTCTCCCCTCCCAAGAAATCAGGGGGTGGGAGTGAAGGTTCCAACCCTCAATTCAAGGTTGGTTCCCCTGGCAACCAGCCTCTATCCTTAGGTGCTTTCTAAGTTACCTCATTAACATAAACCCAGTAGTAGCTGAAAGAGACTTGTTATGAATAACAAGACTCTCCTTTCACTGCTAGGGCTCTAAGGTGATTTCAGGAAATGAGGACAAGAAAACAAATATTGTAACAAAAGATGCTCCTACTTTTCTTATTGCTTAAGAAATTCCAACGGTTTGGGGACCTGTGAACCAGGAACCATGGATTAAGACCAAATATATATGAGAAATACATTCTGGTCATCTGAATGACCAAATATATTGATACAAAAGAGGCAACAGGCCCAAAATGGAGTCACCTGTGCTAAGCCTGTGTCACCAAATTAAGACTTAATACCTAACTTACAGTTTCAACCTCTCCTAGGTGTGGAATCTTAAACCAGTCCATCTGGAATTATCTGGTCAGCACTAGTGAGATATCTGCCTGATAGACACCCCCTAAAGGAAGGTGACCTTGCCACAAGCAATCCACTTTTTGCTGGTAACTTTCTTTGATCACTCCTTTCTGTCTATAAGTCTTCCATTTTGCACAGATCTTTGCAGCTCCTTTCCATCTGCTAGATTGTGCATCTTTTTCAGTTGACAATTGTTAAAAGATAAACTGAGGCATGTTAAACATTTTTAGTTTATTTGAGCAAAAATTGATTTGAGGGGGAGGGTATAGCTCAAATGGTAGGGTGCATGCTCAGCATGCATGAAGACCTGGGTTCAATCCTCAGTACCCCCATTAAAATAATAATAATAACAACAACAACAACAACAATAATAATAATAAAATAAATGGACCTAATTACCCCCCCAAAAAACCAAAACAAAAAGTCGATTCAAATTAGGTGGTATCCAACAAAGTGAGAGTTGCGAGTTAAGTTTTATTTGAGGTGAAATGGGGACTACAGCCTGGGAGACAGTGTCTCATGTAGCTGAGGAACCGCTCCACAGATGTTGGGGGAAGTCAGTATATATGTGATTTTGGTGAAGGGGGTACATGCAGTCAAGCAGACATTTTGGCAGGAGGTTGCCGCTAGTCACGAGGAGCAGACATCTCCATTCATGATTTTAGTGCTTTCCTAGCTATGAGAAGATGCAAGAATTTGGGCTCATAAAATCTTCTCCTGAAAATATCTAACTATACTGTCTGAAGGCCTGTTCTGTCATTTCCCCCCAGAGCACAGGGTTCCTCCTTCCTGCTCTCCATCCTGAACTCCTCTCAGGGTGTCTTGAAGCTCAGTGGCTGCAGTGGCAAGTGACTTCATCCTCATAGAGGCAGATGGCAAGTGACAATTTTTAGTTGGCAATGATCTGCTCCCAGCCACTGCCCCCCCCCCACCTCCTCGAACCTCCCACCCTCGCCCACCTCCCTCTATGCAGGGAGACCAGCTGTGTTGGGTCCTCTGTCCCTGACCTGTTTCCAGCTTCCTTGAGTTCCTTTCTGGCCTTTTGTCAATTTCCTTCTTCAATGTAAAGCCAAGCCTATTGGAGTTAAAACAATCCGTATTGTTTAAAAGGCAATGTTTTCCCACAAATATTTGGAAATTCCAAGGGAAGACTGGTGGCAGGGTGGATGAATGGAGATAAGAAATTCAGACCAGCTAGTGGGAAGCATCTTGGAGAAGCAGTGACACTTAGGTGTTGGAAGATAAGCTTTTCTAAGGGGTCAGCTCTGGGCTGGGTGCAGCTGCCAGGGGGTTCCTTTTGGAAGTTCCTATTTCAGTCTGAAGACTTCCATGGGCCCAGGTAAAGGCTCCCATTTGCCAAGAGACACAGCTGAGTGTTTTTCTGGAGCAGAATTTCCAAGGTCCGCAATGGGTTTAGCCACGTCTCAAAGACATAGCACTTTATTCCCATTTTGCAGGGGTCTGTTGTTCCCAGTAGAAAGGGAGTTTGGCTCCTTTCTTTTCCACCGGGAAAGCTGCGTGCCCAACTGAAGCTGGGTCTCCTACCAGCAGCGAGGATGAGAGAAGAACGAGCCCTGTGCTGGGTCTGAATGCACGGCCCTCGGGCAGAAAGAGGGGACACGCAGCGGCTGGCCTGAGCTGGGCTCCTCGGACGTCTGCGCCTCCCCGAGCAGGGTCTGGGCTTTCCACTGGGGAGACTGAAACTTGTCATGATGCCACATCCAACGTCTTCTTGATTACTCGCCTGCCAGGTCTGCTCACGTGTCACTGCCTGCATGTGGGCACACGGCCCCACTGTCAGCATTTGAGCTGAGACCCCGGCAGACTCCAGAATCTGCCACACAGCAACACGTGGGCATCTTTGGGCATCCCTCACCAGCCACATACAGGACATGAAGAAAAGGTAAAGACAGAAGATGCAGCCAAACCAAAGGTGCAAAGTAAGGTCAGTTACCTGTTATCAGAAGTCTTGAGGCACAGAGAGTGGGCAGCTCAAGACAAACCCATGGCCACTACCTGGGACACACCTTGTTAAGACCGGAGGGTTGGGTATCCGAATTTTGCCAGTCACATCCTAAGCCAGCTTGGGTGGGAGGGGCTTCAGGGAGATGCTGATTGTCTGTCCAGGCAGCTCAGAGGGGAGGAACAGTGTGGGCTACGTAAACCGTGTGCTCGATTCCTGCTCCTCTGGACTTTTATGACCTAGAGAGCACGGTTGCTGGAACGCACATACTTGCATTTCTTATTTTTCTAAAAATTAATAAAAAGGCCAAGACCAAACATCACGCCATGCCTCCCCTGACTGTTGGGGAGTGTGGAGTTGTGCAAACCCATCCTCTGAGCTGGAAGCCTGCACACACCCTGCCTGCTTTCCAGGCTTCTCATCTGGATGTTTTGGGCCAAGTATCAGGTACAGGAGGGAAATTGCTAACAGTTTTAGGATTTTCAAATGGTCTTTATGGTCAGAAATTTGGGGGAAGCTTTTGGCGTGTCATCTGTAAAGTAGAGAAGATGTTTAAGCACCTTTTGTAGAAAAGGCAGTCACTCATACCTGAATGACACAGAAAGTCCTAAAGTCAGCGCTGCACGCTGCGGGTGGGAAAGTAATTGCTCCAGCTATGTAGGGACATACTCTAGTCACGCATAGAAAAATTTAAGTTACATACAACTTTGTTCCAGAAATTCTGCACATTTAAATCTACTCCACAGCAATAATAGTAACGGATTGCAAGGTTGTACGTACAAGGGTGTTTATTGTTTGCAGTGGCGAAAAACTGGAGACAACCTGAAGGTCCATCAACAAATGATTACATCAATCAAGGTCTATTTCATGATATGGCGTATTATGCAGCATTCGAAAAGGACAAGTTAGCTAACTAGCTAGTGGTGGCACTGGGGAGAGGGTCACGATGCCGTGTTAAGTTAGAGAGGCAAACTGCAGAGGAATAAAAGTGAGGTATATGGTTATGGTATTTTTTAAAGGCGTAATCAAACTAAAAGCTCTCGCTTATCTATCTGAGCACAATGAAAGTGTGGCTACATCTCAGGCAGGGAGGAGGGTGGGTTGGGGAAGGCAAAAGGGGAGGTAAGAATCCCAAATCATAGTAAAATGAAAAGAGCAGAGAAGTTGAGCCAAAATTTAGATTATAAAATCTCATTTACATTATCACTGCAAATATGTACATTTATATATGGAAATGGTACGGAACAGGAGGTTATAGGACACTGACTTAATCAGATGCTGGGATTGTGGATAATGTTTTGTTTCAGCTATCTGTTGTAATTTTAATGTCACTTTTACAATAAACTTCCCTTTAAAAAACTGAGTGCTCAGAAGGGACAAGAAATCAACAGTTGATGAGATTATTCCCATTTAAAACGACTCTGTCAAGAATAATTCAGAAACCTCTCACAAGGTCTTGAACATAGTAGGCACTTGACAACCCTTGGCTACATTGAAAAACTAGACTCGCGACACCGTGACTTGATCTCGTAATTCACAAACATAAGCAAGAATGTTCCGGCACATACAGATTCAATTAAAAGCTTCCTAAATCAATTTTGCATTTGAATCACTGTGTCCCCATCCACTAACACGCCCAATTGAATCTAATTTCTGAAACTATTAATGAAATAAGAAAAGACAGCAATGATAGAAAACGTACTGCATCATGGCCTGAGTGTTTTCACATAAGAAATGAAGTCGTTTTGCTTGTGTGGCTGTGTGCGCCCTTGAAGAAAGCTCAGGAGAGCTGGGACTTGAAATGTAGACATCAGCCTATAAGTACGTGTTCTTTCTGTCTTTACTGATTTTGCTATTATGTTTAAAAAGCTTGACTTGGGAGAAATGAGCTGTATGTGTTCTGCACTTTAGTCCTGGTCTCTGATCTAGAATTTACCGGGACTGTGGAAGAGAACCGTGCGAAACCACAGAGAGGTGTTCCTCCTGTGCTGAGTCGGGGCAGGGAAGGCGGCTTCCCCCGGCTCCACCCACCCTCGCGTCCTCCACCCGCTTTCTGTGTTCAAACCTTCCAAATGTATCCTTGAGAAGAACACTGAGAGTAGCAGAGACTCAGAACAAGAGGTACCATTATCAAAGCTCACGTTTTAAAATGCTTCTGATAAATTGTCTGACAACGCACATTTTCCCCCCTCTTACAGACAATTGATATTCAGCAGCTTTCATCTCCAAATATGGTTCCACAATTCTTGGTGGGGTCTCTGAGCGTACCCCCAGAGGGCCTGTGCGGGCATCTTAGAGCATTAGCTTCATTATTTTTTGTTTAAACTGTATTCATATTTTGTAACATATATAGTTTAACAAATAATAAATAGTAAGAGGTGTATCTGCTCTTGATTGCAGCATGCAGGACCTCTCTGATCTCCCTAAAGAAATAGTTTCCTTTTAATCTTTCTTTTGGGGAATTATTTTTTTGAAGCAATAAGGGACTCACAGAAATGATGACCCCCTGCCAAAGTGGCAGTGAGGAAACGGTTAGAGGTCGTGCGGAGTACCTGTGTAAGGGAGTCTATTTAAAGATGCTCATATGCGTGTATCTAAAAATATGAGCACAGGGTTGGAGGAACATTAGAAAGCCAACATGGCATTTAGAAATAGTTTCTTAAATACATGGACTGTTTCAGGGATGGGAACAGCAAATATTTATACTTCTTGTGAAAAGCAATCTTTGTGCCATAGGCACACCCCACTACAGACCTCGTCCCCTGGGTCATCTGCTTGGCAGTACTTCCTTACAAGGAATTAGGGGACTTTGTCTAGCTTTTATTTCTGGTTTAGCTTAATTCCTTTATTATATCTTAGTTTAGTTAAATGAATTAAATACTTAACTTCCATGTAACAAGCTATCAAATACATGGCCATCAGCGTCAGTCTTCATACTCCCCAGAGGAGGACTGTCCAGAGCAGGAAGTCTGGGTTTAGGCAAGCCAGGGTCGAACTACGGCTCTGCCACTTTCTACCTGCTTTCCTACTTTACCTCTTGGAGCCTCAGTTTCTTCATCTATACAATGGGAGTAACACCTACCTCTAAGAGTTGTTGGGAAGGGTCGTGAAGTGCTTGGCAGGTCCCTGGTACATTCTTTTATCTCCTTACCAAACATTTATTGCATAATACGGTGCCAGGCACTCCACCAGGAGCCGAGAATGGGGGTGATGAACAAGCCACCCTCAGGCAGAGCCTGGAGGGGATTGATGCCTGCGCATTTCTCCGGAACAATCAAGTACCCGAGTGAGTGAATGCTGGGGAGTGCTGTTTGAAGCGCTGAAGAATCACTGCTCTTTGGTACCTTCAGAACATGTGGGGCTTTGGGGCTGGGGGACAGGAACCGGGGTAACTTGCTGGTGGCGTGTCAGCCTGCTTGCCAGCTTACTTCACAACAAACCAAGTGAAAACCAGCAGGCAGAGCATCATGGGCTGGTCCACAGTGACCTGAAGTCCTGCTCCCCTTTCCGACCCCAAATCGCAGCGCTTGATGGAGCAGAGCTCCCTGATCAGCCTCCACAGGACCCGCTGGTAAAGCCTGTTGTCCTGTTTCTCGTGGGACAGCTCCTCCTGGTTGGCTGCCTGGGTGGCATTGATGCAGCTGGCGACAAACTTCTCCCTGGTCACGTTGGCCCCCGAGCAGCCATCGTAATGCACCCCGTCGGGGAACTGCCAGTAGTTGGCCTCATAGTACCTGTTGCCCTCTGCTCCGAAGTCGATATCCAGCTTCCGGCCCTGCTTGATGAAGGCGCCGGGGCGCAGCTCCGCCGTGTAGGCCTCGGTGGCCTGCGAGGCGCTTGGCAGGGGCCTCCGGTTCCACCTGATCCTGTGCTTGATGCCTCGCGCCTTGACGGCGGAGAGCGGGCTGAGGAGCAGGACGCAGGCGAGGGCCAGCCAGCATCCGCCCAGATGCTTCCTCATCGTGTCAGAATCTGCAACAGCGAAGGCCGGGGCGGTTAAGTCACCAGGGATGGGAGGTGGAGTGGTCCCAGTCTCCCCCGCCCCTTCCCCCGAGGGGGACATTGGAAGTGAGGAATCGCATCCTCGCGCAGTTCACATTTTCCTGAAGCAGAATTGTTTCCCCAGGCTTAGGCTGCACAGGGTTAAGTCAATACCAAGTTTCTTTCTTCTGCCTGGAATTATATCCATTCGGGATGGTGATCTTAAGTTTTCTCTCAGACAGAGAAGAAGCTGGGACAGGCAATTCGAATGCTTATGGTTATCACCTCTCTAGTCTCACCCCTGGGACAGTGTAACCCTCCCCCAGCTGGCTTCTTATCCCATTTCCCACGTGCCAGCCGCTGACATAGCCTAACTTAATCCTCACGTGGGGTAGGTGCATTATTATCCTCATCTTATAAAAGTTGTACTGGGATTCAGAGACGTTAAGTAGTTTGCCCCGGGCCACACAGCACTGGGTGGCAGATTCGAACCCAGGTCTGTCTGAATGCTGTTCCCGTGTGCCCACCACCCTTCTGGGCTGCTGGAGAGCGTCCTCTGACTCATAGGGCATGGAGGGGGGCCCCGAGGACCCCTCCGCTGAGTGAATAGCAGGGCTTGGGAGGAATTTTAGAGGAAATGAGGTGGCAGGGAGGGCAGGAGCACCCAAGGCGATTCCAGGGCATCTGAAAGGCTGCTGCCGACCCCAGGAAATCTCCCCTCCCGAGTCCCCCCGAGTAGTTTGTCACATCTGGTTCCTGGAACGACAATAGCTATTGTGGAAATCCACCTCCCAAGGTCTGCTGTTCAGGGCCCTCCGGCACCTGGACCTTTGTCCATGCAGATCAGGGGCACAGGAAGGGTCACTATGGCTTGCTTAGGCTGTCTCCTGGATGAAGTTTACGGAGTCCACCAGTGCAGAGCTGAAGGAGCTTGAAAACTTAGCTTGCTTAAGGGGAAGGATATAGCTCAGTGGTACAGTGTGTGCTTAGCATGCATGAGGTCCTGAGTTCAATCCCCAGTACCTCCACTGACAAATGACTAAATAAATTAGAATAAATAAATAAATAAATCTAATGACACCCACCCCCCCCAAAAAAGGAGAGGGAAAAAATGACTAAGACAAAACAGAAAGTTAGCTTACTTGGATCCTAACACATCCTCCCTGCAGTCTTCCTGAAAGCGATCAGTAAAATCACTGCGTTAAAATGTTAATGTTGAAATGTTCAACTCTAGTGTGACACTGGTTCTTATGTAGAAAAAAAAAAAGGCAACGTGCAACCTAAGTGCACATCCAGGCTCCTCTGGGCTCCTGCAAAGAGGCCTTTGCTGCCCTCTCCTTACTTGAAGGCATCACCTAGTCACTGTCCCAGGGTGGACATGAGCGTACCAGGCAGCAGCCCGAGTATCCAGGCTT